CCACATAACCAATGAAAAAAACTATTGCATTGTCTTATTTCAAGTGCATTTTATCTGAATATCTTATTTTAGGATTAAAAATTCTCATTCCATTGGATAATAATCTCATTTACCTGCTCAAATTAAGGGTAAATACACTTAATTTAAGATTTTTTTTTTACTTATTTCCAGATAGTTTTTCCAGTTTTGGAATCTTTCTAACATTTCCCCCCCATACGGCCCCCCTGGTCGTCTTCATACGCTGGGTGTCATTTAACAGACTCCAAATAGCTGCCTTTACCACTCAGAGAAACAACTTCTCCTTTAAAAAGCCACCAAAAACAAATAAATACATTCAAATGAAAGCGCTGAGTAGAGAACTTGCATCCGTTCAGTGAGGCCTCGTGGTCGACCTCTTCTCACCATCTCTTATCTATGGCAGTCTAGATGCTGTTATCAATGAGTTCCTTCCTATGAAACTAATCATCCACTGACTGATATCCCACAAAGCACCGCCTGAAGCACTTATTTCAGCGCTGGGTCCAACCACCTTGTTCTCCGTCTTCAATCTTCATCCTTAGTCACTCTGTCCCAGACTCATTTGATGCTATCACGTTTTCTCTGCAGGTTTTATCTGTAAAAGGTGATCTTATGTATCCAGATCTGCTAAATAGCTGCAGAAAATTCTTCTCTGCTATTTTTCAGAGCATTGGCACCTAAATCCTGTTCTTCCGCACACTCGTGCTCTGAAAGAATATTGATTGCTTGGCAATTTCCTGACTAAGTATTCATTTGTTGTAAAACAGAATGCTTCATATGCACTAATAAAGTAGCTGGTGGCTATTGGCTTGCATTGATAGAGGAAATTTGTTGAGAGGTACTTGTTGCTTCATTGCAAAGCACTGCAGCCAATGTGAAGCAGAGCAAATCATGCATCGCAATGGCCCCTGAGCTTCGCCATCCCATGCACCAGTAATAAGCTGCACAAATGGAATGAAGGAGCAAGAGATGAGGAGAATATATGATGGACAGGGAGGGGAAGGACTGCAGATGGAGGGATGGAAGCAGAGGGCGAGTATGTTGGGTTATAAAACATTTCAGAGGCTATTTGTCTCAGTTTGTAAAAAAAATCTGGTGAGCAGGCATGAGACACTGAGTCACAGAAACACACCGGAGCGCTTCTCTCTCTCTCCAGCTTCTCTTTGTTGCTCATATTTTAATTAGTCCACTACGCTCATCAAACTCAGAGCTGGATATAACACTTAAGCCCAGAGCATTATTTCTAAATCAGCCTTTTTCTTTTTACTGTCACGGCCACTTTTTCTTTTCCATGTGCTATTTCTCCCTCCAGAAAATCCAAGAGCAGGTTTTTATTGAAGCTTCTGGAAGAACTGTTGCTGATTCAGATCTCTCTCCGCCTCTATAGCCCCTCATTTAAACACTCAAGCAAGCTATTGGAAAACTGGTAGCTGACAGCATTTCAACCCCACTGTCACATCAGCATTCACAGCAGATGTTCTGCATTCATGCAGCCACTGGGAAGCAGCAGTTTTTGCTGTAATAGTTGGTGTTAAACATGCAAACAGAGCTGCTCCTTCTATAGCCAGGCATGTATAGACGTATGTCAGATAGAACAGCACAGAACATTATCAGGGCCTTTAAAACAAGAACTCCTTGATTCAAACTGTATCACATATCATGTCTAGACGAGGATTTCCACTGAAACTCACAATCATGTCATTAAGTGCTGCAGAACAAACTCTACATCTAGATCTTGGGCTTTTTAGACTTAGGGCTATAATGGTGATATGCAAAGAGAGGACGAAAATATTTACTTTTTATAAAAATCTAAAAAGTCTCTGAGCTCCCAGTTGCAGCAGACGCTAGCTTTCGTCCAAGTGGTGCACTTTGGTTTTTGTTTACTTTTTCCAGCTGTGGCTGATCACATAGCTGTGTGTCTACATGACAACATGCAAAATAAAAAATCCCCAAAGACAAACAAAAAAAGGACAAGAGGATAGCTTATCAAGCTGGCAATGTTTGCATCCAGGGGGGGATTTACCATTAGGCAATACCAGG